CTCCTTGTCTTTGTCACTGGAAGAAAAAAATGAATAGATGAAAAAATCTGATTAACTCATTACATCTGATTTTCATCTCTCATCAATTTTCAAATTTCAGATCAAAAATCTATCAACCCAGTCACAGCAAAGTATAGACAAGCAGGACCACCGTGTCTAATTACACAAGAAATCAGTAGTAAACAAAACGCATGTTAAGCACATTCAACGGTCCTTAATCATCAAAAACTATTAAACTTGGCGGGTAATATGTATATATACATGTACATGTGAATTATTTAATGCTTTCCAACAATTTTCCCATTTTTAAATTTTGGTTTGAAATAAAGAAGCTCCCTCTGATGTTACTGCAACTTCTGAATGTGTGTCTTGGACATAGTGGACATATTATATATAAAGGATGGCCCAGTCTCAGTAAAATTTTGGATGAACATTTTCATGCAATAAATCTATTTTGTATGTTTTTATGAAATAGATTTATTGTAAATCCTAATTGTTTCTAGATTCCTTTTACTTGTAATGTATTACATACCGAACAAACATACTTATTTCTGTCATGGTCTGGAGTCGGGTGACTCCGTGTTTAAGTTTTGTTTATTCAGTGTTCTGGGATTTTGTGGGGCTTTCATAGTTTTGTCTTTTGTCATGTTTTCATGTTCTTACTTATTCTTTAGGACCGCTGTGATTTCCCAGCCTTTAGGTTTTGTCTGAATGCCCCCCTTGTGTTCCCTGTGTAGTGTCATGTGTACCTGGTTTGATGTTCATGTTATTTCTCGTTTTACTTTGACAGTCCCATGCCCTGTGTCAGTCTGTCTAGTTTTCCTTCTCTTGTCTCGTTATGTCTAATGAATCCCAGCTGTGTTTCACTCCTGTTTCCCATTTCCTCTTTACTGACTTGTATATTTAAACCCTGTGTTTTCCGTTGCCCTTTCTTGCGTTGTACCTCCTCTTGTGTGTGAGTCTGTGTTAAAGTGGTCAAGCGTTAGCTCCTCATTTCTTGTTTCCTGGTGTTTGAGCTGTCATTTTTCAGTGTTTTTGTTTTTAGTTTCCATTATACTTTGTTTTTTGTTAGCTTATGTTTGGACAGTTTTCCCAGCAATAAAGCTGCCGCCTTAAGTTTATGTTTTGTATTTGAGTTGTGCATTTGGGTCCACTTCTTTTCTGCCAACCACAGCTACACATGAAGGATTTCTTGTGACACAAATAAATTTAAAGCATGTTTGAGATATTAAAAGAAAGCTTAGAGAACCAAGATTTTTTTATAAGGAAATAGCTCTTGAAATGAACTCAGCTGATTTAAAAAACAGGTCACACCTTAGGATTTTGAATGACAAAAAATCATATTTTTGGAGTAATGTCTATTTAAAAGTTACTTGTCCCCTCCATGCTGAGGAAAGTGTGTCAAAAATACAATCTGGCTCATGATGTGTCTCTGCAGTGAGTCGTTTGCTTTTGTTCTTGTACTGTGACTTGACTTGTGCTTCGCTTCTGCTACCTGTCTAAGTTGTTATCTGGGTTTTAGCCAAAAGAAGTGAACAAAACACTGCGCACACTGTACAGGGAGTGCAGAATTATTAGGCAAGT